AACCAAGCAGAAGTACATACAAGATGGAGGGATTAACCCTTGACAGCACTGTCAGCGCTCCTGTTTGTTCCTGGAATCCAGTCCTCAGACAAGGGCTCATTTCCATTGAAGCTGTCGGTCTATGTAGATCAATCCAACTTCACGGAGACTCACTGAATGCAATCAGTTTAACACGCCTTCTCTTGTTTTCAATGTACTCGTATAGTCACCAGCTTTTCTGCATTCTCATCAACGCCAGGAGGAGGTGTGTTAATCTGATCAACTGATTGCATTCAGCGAGAATCCCCGCAGAGTTGGATCAATCTACGTAGACCGATAGCTGCAATTGGAATGAGCCCTGAGGTACGTTTACATACAAATAGAGTCGGTCGCTTGCTGTATGCTATCTAAGGGCTTTAGGAAATTGTTTGAAGGTGTAAGAAGGGCCTGTGTCAGAGAGTTAGTCACGTGTTCAGGTAGCTCCTAATCATTTTCCACGCAAATATAGACCGGGAAGTTAAAGCACTGGCACACCCAGCTTTATGTAGTAAAGTATGAGGGAAAAACGCCAATCGACAGACAGACGCAAGGGGTTCGATTAATTTTTCGTTGTTTTACGTAAGCGAGAAGCAGGTATTACTAGTTGCCTTGCTGTGTATCGCACGCTTTAGAGACAGGGGGTATTTCAGAAATAAAGAGAGGAGGGAGAAGGCTTCGCTGCCCCCCCTCCCCCCATCTGTATATGCTATGATTCATACAGAGTGTTTGTGAGCTGGGGAATTATTGGGCTGGTATATAGAGAGTAAAATGTCTGAAATATTCACTTCTAACACTCTTCTTCAGACACTTTGAAAGATTTTTTTCTTTTGCTTAATAAACATGGGGATAAATGTGTCACAACGATCAACTCGTACAAACTTGTTGAAGATGTACCGGTTGTCACCTGTGGGTTTAAGAGGTCCCAGGTGTCACATACTGCGACATGTTTTAGGAGTTTGTCAAAATGTGCGGTCTTCCTGATTTTTTTAACTCGCTGCACAAAAATAATTAGTTGTTCCTGCACGAGCATCATCCAGGGATAAAGTCACGAAGCAGAATAAGTCAATTGTTTGACAAAAAAGGGGAAGCGATCGCAAACAACAAAAAGTATATCTAGTGGCTTGGATGTAGGTAAACATTCTGAAAGCAATTTTGAGAAATAAGACCGTCTTCTCGGTAAGAAAAGATTGCAAGTTGAATACATATTACACGCAAGTTTTCTTTTCGAATAAAACGTTTAATACAGATCACTCGTGGCAAAGAATCCCATCACCCTTGTCATGATCTGTTATGCACTCAAAGTTACTATAATAGTATTTTTTTTTTTTAGATTTGCAAACAAAAATTTGACTTATTGAATGTCACTCCAATATTTTAGGACAGAAGGTGTCTCTTGTTAGATACTTTAATATTAGAGTTAAAATATTTCTCAGTGAACTTGTTATATGAAATGACTGTATTGGAATGCACATTGGCATCGGTATATTCGGTACAAAGGAAAAAGAACGAAATTTATTTTGTGCTCGACTTTAACCTTGCCCTCTCGTACACAATTCTTTCAACAGCGCACGTGATCGTATTAATTATCACGTGTTTGCTGTAATTATAT